CTCTTAGCACCCCCTACCTCCCTATCCCTTTCTCTGTCTCTCTCCCTCCCCCACTCTCTCTCTATCTGTGAGTGTGTACGTGTGGGGGAGGAGGGGGGGGGGGGCGAAGGCGCACATTGAACGGGCAAGATTTATCTCCGGCCAAACAGCAAAAAGCCCCAGGGCCGCCGAGGGCCGACACATGTCGCCGTGTCTCGTTTGTCGAAGAGAGATGAAAGTGCCTTCCTCTGACTCCTCTCGCCTCCTGGGTCGCTCACCTTGAAGCCAAAACGTTTGTGTCCCCCGCTAATCCCTCCTTGGAGAAAGCCGTGAAAGATTTGCGTGTGTTACAAGGGCGTTCTGATTCTCTTCCCTCCAAGTGGAGTGGAAGATGTGATTGAGATGATAACAGGGCTTGCGCCCACTGTGTGTGTTGTGCTTTGCTGAGGCAGGTAGGAAGATTCTGCACAAAAGGCTTTTGTCTTTATCACAGTGACTCTGTCTTTTCGATGTCGTTCCATGTTGGTGCAATATTTTGTAATTTTTAGAATTTTCTTTATGTGAGACTTGACCATTTGGTAGTCCTATTAGGGAATGCCTGGCCGTCTATTTGGCGGAAAAAATCGGGTTCGTCTAGATCTATAATAATAATAATAATAATAATAATAATAATAATAATAATAATAATAATAATAATGATGATAATGATGATGATAACAAGATCATCATCATCACCACCACTGCCACCTACTTCTTCATCATCTACATCATCCACATTATCATCCACATCCTCATCATCATCATCATCGTCGTCGTAAAAATAGTTGTAATAGAGCGCGTAGGTTTCACGACGCCTACCTTGACTGAGTTTTATTATTTAATGTCGCATGTCGCTGTAGTCCTTCATTTTACACTTCCTCGTCTTAGTATTGAATGCACCAGGACGCTGTCAAATGTGCGGAGAAGACAATTAAATTATATGTTGCAGACTAGTATACGTGTATATATGCACATATTTTACATAGCATTAATTTTGATTTCAAGACGGTTCTTTCGTGTGGCTCTCTAGTATTTCTGATGTATTGTATATCGTATGTTTTAGATCTATATTAAAGGAAATGGTGTAGATTCTATGTGCTTTGGTTGAGGGGGGGGGGGTTCTTTTTTAAAGGGGGGAAAAGGAGACTGGAGTTCGGAAACTTTTTGTCTCATAGGTTTGCCAGTAATTACAGCACATGGGCGATAAAGTCTCCTAGAGGGGTCTACAACAGGGAACTCTTAATGAGAAAAGAATGTTGTGCATCGTCTCGTGTGTCTGCACAAGATGTGGATTTATGGTCAAGGCGTCTAATAAACCCCGAGCATTGGCCAGTTTTTTCGTGTTGAGGGTCGCGGATCACGCGAGTTCATCTCCCGTCTTAATCTGTCTGTGCTCATGAGATGTGGTAACGTGAGCGGGGTTGATGTGTGTGAGTGTGTGTGTGTGTGTTTGTGTGTGTGTGTTTGTGTGTGTG